GGTTTGTGTCCCAGACCCGGTGGCTTAAAACTCACGCCGGGCGCATGTGCGTGCGTGCCCAAGATCCCGAGAGGAGAATGGAGGAGAAGGGATTGCGGTGTGTCCATCCCCGCTGGGGGGTGATTTCTCGCTTTCTGTCTCTATGTCTCTCTCTGTCTGTCTGGCGAGTGCACGCGCCCTATAGTGAAAACCTCTCCAAAAAATAAAAAATAAAAATAATTAAAACCCCACAAGCACAGCCCAGCTGCCCCCACTGTCCAGATGAGGAGCCTGAGCCCTGGGGAAGGGCAGTGCCTGCCCTGGGACACTGGTTAGGTGGGGCCAGTTCTAAGACCCCAGGGATTCAGGGATGGGAACGACCATGCCTCGGGGTCCAGCTCATTCACTGCAGCAACTGCTGGCAGGCACCTGGCTCCAGGTGGGCATGGGGGAGATTAGTGCCACCTCCTCGGGTCACTGGGCACCCTCAGGCTACGGTGCCATGTGTTGCCAAATGTGGGAGCTCAGTTGGCAGGCGGCCCATGGCATGGAGCCCTGTGGGGGTTGTTGGGGGAGGGCTGCAGGCCCAGAGACACACCAGCTTCCCTGTCTCATGCTCCAGAGGCACCTGCGGACATGATTCACAGCTCTGGGCCACCCCATTCCATCGCACAGAGGGGAAAGTGAGGCGGCGTCAGCGTGGTGCATCCCAGGCTGCCGGTGAGCAGATGAAAGGGCAGGGCCAGCCGTAGTCCAAGCTGGGCAGTGACTGGCTCTGAGCAGAGTCCCCAGAGCAGAGGGAAACACCTTAGCCCCCAGCCTCTCAGCCTCTGGAGCAGAGGGGAACACCTTAGCCCCCAGCCTCTGTGGAGTCGGGGGCAGACTCCGGCTCTCGAATTCATGCCAGCTCAATCCTCTACTCTGCAATTTATCTGCGTTTGTTTTTATATAAAAATAACAGTCTTTTCTCATTTCTGGTCCAGGAAAACATGCCATGCTCATCGTGCGGCTTTATGTCCCATCCCCACCCCCAGGTCCTGCTGGGCCCAGAGCCACCCTCGTAGGGCCACTGAACAGACAGGCGAGGGGGCCGAGGGCAGCAGAGCAGGACCAGGAAGGGCAGGAGGGAGCCCCCAGGCTGGGGGGTGAAGGTGAGGGTGTTGACTGCTGGGCGAATTGTTGATTGCTGGGGCCTGGGCCTCACTCCTCTGCCTGCCTGGGTGCTGCCTTCACTGGTGGAGGTAGGCGTCCAGCCAGACGTTGCCAGACTTCTTCAGGGACCTGGGAGGGAGGGATGGTGGGAGGTGGGTGTTAGACTCACTTGCAAGATTCTAACATCTCCAGCATCTCCTTGATGAGTGTGAGTGGAAATGCCCCTCATTCCCTGGTGGGTTTCCGTCCCCCGGGGGTAGGCTGCTGTGAGGCCATGGGCGTCAGTTGGGAGAGGAGGCTCAGTCCCGTTAACTGGGGTGGACTCTAGGCTGGGCATGGGGAATGGGCAAGGCCAGCCAGATGTGTGCCTGTCCCCCCACCCAGTGCTCCTGCTGCCGCCTCCTGCTGGGGCCCTGTGGAGGAGACATACAGGGTGGACTTGCCCACCAGGAGCCCAGTGCCGGGCAGAGGAGCCAGAAATATCAACATCTCATTAGCAAACTCCACGCCAGGCGCTCTGAGGGGGCTACGCCTAGTGACATGGGCTTGGGGCGGGGGGCGGGGGTCAGGCTGGGAAGGGTCATGAAGAAGCAGGAGTGTGAACACAGCACAGAAGAAAAGGCGGACAGGACGAGGGAACTGCACGTGCGAGGCTGGAGATGGGAGACCTCCACTGACCTTGGCTCCCACCCCCACAGCCTCCACCAGGCCAGGGCCAGCCCCCTCTGCCTCCCTGGCTCCTGTTGGGGCCTATGCTCTGCCCTGGGCTTTGACACCCGGTCATGAAGAAGCAGGAGTGTGAACACAGCACAGAAGAAAAGGCGGACAGGACGAGGGAACTGCACGTGCGAGGCTGGAGATGGGAGACCTCCACTGACCTTGGCTCCCACCCCCACAGCCTCCACCAGGCCAGGGCCAGCCCCCTCTGCCTCCCTGGCTCCTGTTGGGGCCTATGCTCTGCCCTGGGCTTTGACACCCCCACCCCCAAGCATTCCCAGCCAGAGCACCTCCCCAGGGTGTAAATTAGGCCTCATCCCTTTCTCATGCACACCACAGGCTCCTGCCTAGGTCCTCTGAGCTTCTGTGCCCTCTGCTTCCCACACCCTTCCGCTTGTAGCTGCCGCGCCCCTCTTTCCTACACCTGCTCACGCGTCAGCTTTCCGGGCACGTGTCAGCTTCTCGGTGCCACCCACCCTGCACCCAATTTAGAGTTGCAACCCCGGCCTGGCACCCTGGCTTCCCTCACATGCCCCACCGGTAGGGTTGTCGCTTGGCCCAGCCATTCTCACGTTTTCTGTTTCTACTTTGCTGTTCTGCTTGTTTCTAGTTCCCCTGCGAGGACAGAGGCTCCAGGAAATCAGGACCTAGGCCTGTGGTGCTCACTGAGGTGCCCATGGGGGGTGCTGGGGAAGGGGTGGGCACAGGCTGAGGACAGAGAGGCTGATCCGTAAAGGCCTGGAATGCCAGCTCTTACGGAGGGTCCCTCATGGGCTCAGGAAAGGCTGACTAGGATGACGGAGGGCACCTGTTCGGGGAAAGCCATGGTGGCCCAAGGGGCCTGGACTGCAGCCTTACCCAACAATGTCCACCAGGGCAGTGAGAAAGGGCTTCACCTCGTAGTTGAGGCCGTGCTTGGCACACAGTGCCTTGACCAGAGGGGCTACTTTGTGGTAGTTGTGCCTCGGCATGGTGGGGAAGAGGCTGTGGGTCAGAAAGTGTGTGTTGATGCCTGAGGTGGGGCTTCTGGAGCGAGCCCCAGTCACCCAGCATCTCCCAGGCCCTGCTCCCACGTCTCCCAGGTTCCCAGCGAGTCAAGGGCCCCAGGAAAGACAGGAAAGGGGTCAGGCCTTGCTCCTCACCCAGAGCACCCAGGCCCTGCACTCACTGGTGCTCGATCTGGAAGTTGAGGTGCCCGCTGAACCAGTCGGTGAAGGGTGAGGGCTCCACGTTGCAGGTGGCTGCCAGCTGCCAGGAGCAGACAGGGGACGGTGAGGGAGGGCTGACACAGGCCTGACCCCATAGTGCCCCACACCTGGCGGCCCCAGCAGGAGGTAGGTAGCAGTATCCCTCTCTGCCAGCCACCTCCTAGTTGGAACCCTAGGCCCTATCCCTGCCACCCACCTACCTGAGAGCTGGCCCAGTCCCGGTGCTTCTCGTGGCCGATCTCCTTGGGGATGTGGTTCATCTGTGTGATCCACACGAACCAGTGGCTCTCCAGGACCCTGTTGGGGAGGCGTGGGCGCTGCCCATGTCCAGCTCACTACTTAGGCCCCCTTGAGAGGAGGCTGCAGTGGGGATGTCCCCCAGACCTGGGCCCCTGCTTCCTCGTGTATAATGGGACTGTGGTCATCACTCCCTCCGTCAGGCTAAGGAGGCTGAACAGGGCAGGGTTCACTGCCAGGCTGAGCCTGGGGGAGCTCTGCTCTTGCCAAGCTCGTGTCTATCTGATTTTCCCGAGAACCAGGAGGCAATCCTGCTGCCCCCCTTCTGCAGTTGGGGATGTGGAAGGGGGCAGGCTGTAGTCAGGGTCACCTGCCACCTGTGTGATCCCCTCGCTCCCTGCCATTCCAATTCTGACCATACCTGACAGCAACGAAAAGGAGCAGTGCCCCAGGGACTCCGTAGAAGGGGATGTAGGACAAGAAGAAGCGGGAGTAGAAGCTGGCGGCCCAGAGCAAGTCCTGCAGAGGACGGCAGAGGCGACACTGAGTGGCCTCTGAGAAGAAGGAGGGGTCACCCACCTCTTCCGCTTGATTTGCCTTGGAGCCCTGGACAGGCCACCACCCCATCTGGGTCTCAGTTTTCTCAGCTGGGTAAGAGGATAGGCTCCCTGCCCCTCCAGTTCACAGGGTTGACCTTGGAGGTGAAGGTGTCATGGAAGGTGTGGGGAAGGGGAGCCCCTGCCCAGGACACAGAGACACGGCAGTGAGCCCAGTGATCGATCCCCTCCCCAGGGAGGACATCCCTACAGGAGACCCATACCACGTCCCCTGTGTACATGCACGCTGGCTCTCCCTCACATGCTTGCGTGCACACATGTGCGCACACACACGTGAACCACACCTGTGCATGCACATGTGCACCCGTTTGTATTTATGGATGGACATGGCCCCCTGCAGCCTGCCCCCAAACCCCGCCCCATGGCTGCATGCCTGGGGTCCTGAGCAGCCCCCACTCACCGCCCACTGCATGCACACCAGCATGTAGGCCAGATTTTCCACTTCAAAGTTCACCAGAGTGAGCAGGGGCGGGCCAACTGCAGGAGGGCACGAGAGCTCAGGAGCAGGCTGGGGTGCCGAGGCAGGGGCAGTGGAGGGGGCGATCAGGGCCCTGGTACTCCAGGAGCACCCACGGGATGCTGGTGTTGTTCCCATCCGTTTCACCTGCAAGGCCTGGTCCTCCTCATTCCCTTGGTTGGCCCTTGCTCTACTACCTCTGCCCCAGCGTCCCTATTGCTGCAGGTCAGGGGCCAGCTTCATAGTTCCTGCCTGCGTCCTCACCCTGTCCGCTTCAGGAACCGCCCAGACAGCCCTGAGCTTCTGACCACCCTGATGTGAGGGCAGGGGATTCTGGCTGGGCCTGGGAAAGCGCTGGGCAGGCAGGGGGAATGGCTAGGGCAAAGATGTGGCGTTGGGAGAGGGTGTACAGGCTGCAAGTGAGATGACCAGCACAGGGGCTGGGAGAGCCTGGGAGGGAGCCGTGGTGAGGGAGGGCTACAGGGAGCATACCTGGCCCCCTGGCCCAAAGGTTCAGGCATGGCCTGCCCATGCCCCACGCCCCACGCCCCCCGCCCCACGCCCGGGAGGACACAGACTCACTCAGGAAGAAGTACAGGTGCTGATGGTTGTAGGGCAAGTATCTGCGTTTCTTCTTGCCATACTGTGGAGACAGGCAGTGGCAGGCAGAGTAGCTCTCCAGGCCCTCTTCTTCCAGCCAAGGTCAGGGGGCTAGTTGGGGCCAAGGGGCGAAGGCAACTCTAGATTGCAGCAAGCGGGCCCTGGTCCCCAGCAGGCTGGGAGGTGGGTGGGAACACCACCGGGGCAGGGGCTCAGCCTGGGTCAGGGGCTGGGGAGGGCTAGAGTGGGGCCCTAGCTGTTGCCGGTGCCCCTAGCTACAGGCCCAGCCTGAGGGTGTCCACGTCCTTCCCCACCCACCTCCACAGACGACTCCCCCAGGAGGAAGACGGGTGCCACGGTCACGTCTGGGTCTTTGTGGAAGATGTTGGGTTTGGCGTGATGCTGGAAGTGGCGGAAGTTCCACCAGTGGGCCGAGAAGCCCTATGGGGGAGCAGGGGACTCTCAGGAGTAGGACCAAGCCATGCTCCCCATTCTGTGCCCACATACCTGGGCAGACTCAGTGTAGCACCCCTGACTCGGTGCCCGGCTGCCCCGCACCCCCATGCTCACCTTCAGCTGCCCCATTACAAACTGCTGGGCCACCTGGTTCCACCGGGACTTCCTGAAGATGGAAGCATGGCCCAGGTCATGTTGTAGACACCAGCACTGAGCCTGGGGAGAGAGGTGGGATCAGGAGCTGGGGCTCCTCGACAGAATTGCTGGGGCCTGATTCCAGCCAGGAAGAGGGTGGTGGATCCTTCCAGCTGGCTGGGGACCCTACAGCTAACGCTCCACACCAAAACCCTTGAGGCCCAGCTTCCCTTTTGGCGGACATGGACAGCTGAGTTTCAGGGAGGTGGAGGGGCTTGCAGGCGTGTTATGGAGCTGGGGGACAGCAGGCCTCTAGCTCCTTACTCTGTGCTTGTTCAGGATTTATTAAAATCCTTATTTAAGAAATCAGCAGTTGGTGTAATGGCTATGTCACTGGACTCCCATGTAGTCGATGGAGGTTCAAGTCCCGGACCTGGTGGCTTAAACTCACGCCGGGCACCTGTGCGTGCATGCCCAAGATTCCGAGAGGAGAATGGAGGAAAAGGGATTGAGGCATAGCCGTCCCCCCAGGAGGTGATTTCTCGCTTTCTCGCTTTTCAGAGAAACAGTGATGTCTCTCTGTCTCTCTCTGACTTTCTGGCGAGTGTACGTGCCCTATAGCAAAAACTTCTCCAAAAAAAAAAAGAGAAAAAAATCCTTATTTAATAACCCTCCTTAGCTCACTGAGAATGCAGCTGAACCCGCAAACATGCCTTATGGACCCTCTGGCTGGGGACCTCCCCCCCTCCCTCCTCGTTCACTCATTCAGCAGATATCTTGCAGCGTGCTCATATGGATTGGGCCCCATGGCTCCTGGCACAACACAGGGTGGCCGCCACGCAGTGCTGGGGTCACCTGAGAGACGGCCAGGATGGCAGCAGCGAGGGCGCTGGGCACCCAGCCAGGGCCCAGGAGGTAGACGATGAGCCAGGCCAGCACCTCCATTGCCAGGATGTGACCTAGCAGGAGAGCGAAGAAGGTCGGGTTGGCCTCAAACAGCTTCATGTCCTCAGCTGCCTGGCGCAGAGCTCGGAAGTCCTCAATCAGCTGGGCCTGCCACAGCAGAGTGGCCGGTCAGCTCCAGAAATGAGGCCTCACTGCCCCCAGAAACCTCCCAGAGCTCCCCAAGCCCCAGCCACTCTTCTCAGTCCAGGCCCAAGGGGTGTGGCCAAAGGGAGATGGAGGGACAAACACACCTAGCCTGGGGTGTGACCAGGGGATCTGACAGGTGGCCAGATCTTTTTCTCCTCCCAAAAGGTGTGGGGTGTGAGAGAAACAGGGAAACCTTCAGGGTTCGGCGTATCCAAATCCTCACTGTAGCTCGGGACATAGCCCAGAGCAGGTAACGGGGCTCACCTGGGTACCCTTGGCAAGTGGCTGGCCAAGCCAGGTCTGGAGCCCTGGGACGCCTGCGGGACATCACTATGGCCTCACCTACAGCTGCCTTCCCGTGAAGGGCGGCAAACCCAGGCTTGGCTCTGCATCCCCTTGGGATAAGGCAGACGGAGGAACTCCTGGACAGGTGGCCACACTCCCAGGACCTGCAGCCACATCTACACCCCAGTGACTGAGCCTCTGCCAGGGTCCTGCTCACATTCTGGAGTCCATCCTGGCTGGGCTCCTCCGGGGCCAGCTCTCCAATCAGCAGAGGCTGCAGGAACTTGCGCACAAAATTGAGATCCTGGTGAAAGGCGTGGAAGGCATCCTGGAGGAGAGCAGACAGTCAAGTGGACAGCCAGCCAGCCAGAGCCACACCCAGAGACAGCCCGCAGGGACGGCAGAAGGTCCATCGGTGGACAGGCACGGTAGACAGACAGATGGACAGAAAGTCAGTTGGCTGTTCAGCAGTCAAAGAATTGGGACCACAGGGATCAACCTTGCCTCTGAGCCCTCCGTGGCCCTCCCACGGGGCCCCTTGCCTGTCCCCATCAGCTGCCAGCCCCATCTGCTTCGCCCAGCACAGGGGGCCTTCTCCATACGGGGATGAGTGCATATCAATCTGGATTTACAGAAAGGTCTCCCTGGAAGGGTCTGATTCCTTTTATGAAGGATTTGGCTTTCCCAAAAACCTTTCTGTACTCCTACATATTTCCAGTACATAGAAAATAAGAGTCGGGGACCAGTAGTTAGCATAATGGCTATGTCGCTGGACTCCCATGTAGTCAACTGCGGTTTGCGTCCCGGACCCAGTGGCTTAAAACTCACGCCGAGTGCGTGTGCGTGTGTGCCCAAGATCCCGAGAGGAGAATGGAGGAGAAGGGATTGCGGTACGGCCATCCTCCCTGGGGGATGATTTCTCGCTTTCTATCTCTCTGTCTCTCTCTGTCTGGCGAGTGCACGCACCCTATAGCAAAAACCTCTCCAAAAAAAAGAGTCAGATCACAAGCATTCGAGTTAGGCAGTTTGTACAAACATAAGCAGTGGGTAAAGTGAGTGGGGAAGCTTGTAACCAAGGACCACCGGGCCACCAGTAGAATCAACCAGCTAAGGGCCACACACACCAGGTTCTTGGGGATTTGCAAAGATACCTGAATAGTTAAACTAGTTTGATTTAACAAGTAGTAGCAGAAAATGTATTAATTCTCTTTTTGAAAAATGGTTTGCTATAGGGCATGTATGCTCACTGAGATAGGGACAGAGACAGAGACAGAAGGAAAGTGGGAAATCATCCCCCTAGCAGAGTGGAGATGGCCATACCACAATCCCTTCTCTTCTAGTCTCCTCTCAGGATTTGGGCACATATGCACATATACCCAGCGTGTTTTTCAAGCCCCCAAGTCCAGGACTAGTACCAAGCAGTTGGCCATATGGGATCTAGCATCTTAACCTCCATGCCATCTGCTGACCTGGAAAATGTAATTAAAAAAAAAAAAAAAAAGTAAATACAATGACTAATCTGACATTCCTACGATTCTCTGTAAGAGCTGAGATGGGCTGTGAAGGAAGAGAGGGAAGGAAGAGAAAAGAAGGATTTAGAGGAAAAGAGAGCTGATGAGAAAGACCAGGGGGTGAGGCGAAAAGGCCACTACAGAAGCAGGCAAGCTGGAAGCGTCAGTAAACCTGAACTTCACACTTGACTCCCAGCCTTTCTGGTCTCCTCTGAGATCTTGGTATTGCCATTGGCTCTTGGACTGAATTTTTTTTTTTTTTTTTTTGGAGAGGTTTTCACTATAGGGCGCGTGCGCTCACCAGACAGACAGAGAGAGACAGAGAGACAGAAAGTGAGAAATCCCCCGGGGAGGATGGTCACGGCGCAATCCCTTCTCCTCCATTCTCCTCTCGGGATTTTGGGCACGCATGCACATGCGCCCAGCGTGAGTTCTAAGCCACTGGGTCCGGGATGCGAACTGCGGTCAACTACGTGGGAGTCCAGTGACAGAGCCATTACGCTAACTGCTGGTTCCCCTCTTGGACTGAATTTTATCCTTACCCTTTCAGAGGCTCTCTCTGAATGGGCTAACCACAGCCAGATGGCTGTCTGAATTGCACAGTGATGGGACAGTGTTATCATCATGGGCCCGGGGAAGGTGACTCAGGGCCTCGCAGCTACTGAAGAAAACACCCTGGAAGAAGGCCCATGGAGATTTAGGACCTCCTGTTGTCTTCTTGCTACTGAGTCTACCAGCTTGTGCAGTTAAAACAGAAGTGACAGCCAGCCCGTTGTCATGGCCAGGACACCGGCACAGTCCTGGGGGAGAGAAGCACCTCAGGCCCACCAGCCCCCATGTGGAGGCCGCAGCTGCAAAATCCCCCTAGGAGTCCCCTTCCCTATTCCCTGATCTCTTATGAGGCCAGGGCAGCCTCAGGACTGGGGGGAGGAGGGCGTGGCTTCTGGAATAGCCAGGGCCGACTTGGCTTCCTGGAGCTCACACCAGGGAGAGGGTTCCCTAAGCACAGAGCTCACCAGTCTGGACGTGAGTCTTGAAGGACAGGCTGGGAACCCACGGGAGGTGCCTGAGTTTGGGCTACTGGAAAGCTGGGGCTGGTCTTCGCTGGAGAGCCAGGAGGGGATTGTTCTTGAGGCTCTGCCAACCCCACACTGTGTGACCTTGAGCTAGGCATTCTCCTCCCTGGGTTCCAACTTCCTGAGCAAACCAAGGTGTTGAGACTTCAGGACTCTCCTGGTTCTGCTCAGAACGAACTCTTTTGTTTGTTTAATCCTTTCCATGGTGGGGAGAACTCCCAACAGTGCCAACAGGGTCTTCACACCACAGTCCACCCCAGCCTAAGCTGGCCAGGCTCACAGGCGTGCATGCCCACTGCGTACAGGGGAACTCTGGGACCAAACCCGGGTGCTTCCAAGTGACTCAGCATTGCTGAACAGCGTTTCTGCTACACCACCATGCTGGCCTTTTCTTATTTTAAAATCGTTTCATTATAGTGAAATATACAGGAGATTACCATTTTAACCATCTGTAGGTGTCCAGTGCAGTGACATTAAACACGTTCACACTGCTGTACAATCGTCAGCACCATCCACCTCCAGAACCTTTTCATCTCCTCCGACTGAAACCGCACCAACACCCCCTCCCTCTCCCCAGCTCCTGACACCCACCATTCTACTTTCTGGCTCTGTGAACTTGACTATCCTAGGAACTGCCTAGAAAGGGAGCATACAGCATTCGTCCTTCTGTGTCTGGCTTGTTCACTTAGCATCACGTCCTCCACGCTGTGGCATGTCTGGATCTCCTTCCTGGTAGGGATAAATGAGTGGTACAGCGACTCCCTCTTCTCTCCTTTGAAACGCCCCTGGCAGCACACAGAGCCCAGATACACAGAGACACAGAAAGGTGGCATCTTACCCATGTGCACGCACACGCAGACACACCCACCAACCCACCTCAGCAGGCAGGACTCAGTGGGTCAGAAACATGACCAGGTCACGGTCCATGAGAACACTCAGACAGACACAGCTTTGCATGGCACACACACAGTGGATTATGCAAACTGTGGCTAGGCCCTGCATTTCTTCCTCCCCAGCCCCCTTCTCTCCCATGCCCAGAGGATGCATGCACTCCCCAGGGGGTGGAGAAAGCACCCCTCAGTGGGTTTGGTCATGCTACAATCCCTTCTCCTCCATTTCTCTATCCTGTTGGGATGTGGGGTATATATGCATGCCCAGCATGTTCTTCAAGCTGTTGAGGCTTGGATTCAAACCATGGTCAACCATGTGGGATCCAGCTTCCTTAACCACTAGTCTAAGAGGCTGGCCTCCCACAACTGTTCTGTTCTGAGTCCCTGAGCTGAGGAGCTGGGAGAACTGTGGGAGCTAGTCGGTCTCTCTGTCTCCTTTACCTTGGTCCTGATCCAGTCAGGCCGGCCCTGTAGAGGAACAGAGAGTGAAAGACAGGCCCACCCAAGGGTGGGTGGCACTCATTAGAGTGATAAGGCAAAGTGTGAGCCTCTCAGGTCTGGACCAAAAAGCCTCAGAGCTTGGGGACAGGGCTTCAGGGGTGAGAAGGAATAGGTGGGCAGTGGCAGGCCCTTGGGAAGCAGCTGGGGCTCCTGGGGCTGGGTAGGCACCCCTATTCTTCCTGTGCTGCCAGAGAGCACCAGTAAGACAGGTTCCTGGACTCCGACTAGAACCTGATGTACCAGCAGGTGGTATTTCAGCAACACCGGCTATGGTTGTGTGACCTAGTCTTCTCTGGGCCTCTGCTCAAGAATCCAAGGCCCAGGCACAAAAGAGGACTCAGAGACGTTAAGCTCTGTTACTCAAGGTCACAGAGCTCCATTTGACTGATGTTGGATTAGAGCCCAGCTGAACTGTCAAACTGTGCTTGTAGCCACTCAGTAGTCACCCCAGGGTGGCCACTCCTCAGAGGATTGAGTTGGAGCAGGGAAAACACTTGGAAGGGAGGACAGTGGGCCTCCTGGGTGGGGTGTGAGGGCCTCACCCTGAGGTCAGTCATTATTCCAAGCAGCCAAGGATTTCGGTGCTGGAAGCCTGGCACGTGCAGACAGAGAGACACAGCTTTGCAAACATGGTGGACAAAGGAGATCATGCAAACTGTGGCTAGGCCCTGGATTTCCTCTCTCCCAGCCTTCCTCTCTCCCATCCTGAGGTGCATGCCCTCACCAGAGAGACAAAGGGAGGGAGAGGGAGAAAGCACCCCCACGATGGGTTGTGGTCACGCTGCAATCCCTCCTTCTCCATTTCTCTGCCCTGCTGGGGGTCGGGGTATACACACATGCCCGGCATGTGGGGAATAGGAGGGTGGCTCCTGGGCTGCACCCAAGTCTTAGGGTACCACGGCAGCCCCACCCTCACTTACCCCTGGTGTACCTGGAAACATCTTTCTAGGTGTATTCATGTGACTCCTCCTACCACCCATTCGAGTTGAAGGGAAGGCTCGAGGTCTCTGGTAGGGTCTCAGAGCAGAGTAGAGTGAAACTCTGGAATCCGAATGGTGCCCCAGAACATAAGCTCCTCGTGGCAGTGACCAGGCACAGCCGTGTCCCGGAGGCTGGCACAGAGCAGGTGCTCAACAGTCGGTGGGAATACGTGCACAAAAGTCAGACCTCCACTGACCCAGGGAGGGGCAAGAGCCATCTTCCTGGGGAGGGAATGGAGATGCCACATGCTGGGGCTATCAGCCTGCATCACAGGCATAGCGGGATCCATACCCGGGGCTGTCTTCTGTGACGCTCGTGCTCCCCCCAGGACATGGCTGCAGCCAGCTCTGCCCTGGTCTCTGCAAACCT